GGGGCTCGATTTTCGTACCGGAGGTTGACGGAGGGCTTGTTTGCTGTGTCTGCTTCTGTCTATTTAGGTAAACCTTTGAACAGAGGAGTCTTTTTGGGGAGGCAGTGAGGGGAATGATCTGGGCTTGATCTCGTGGGTGGGATCCGCCAGATCGGACTTCGATCTGTTACCCAGAAAACTCCGCCGTGTTTGTTTGTTTTGTCTTCCTGTTTCCGTGACATGCTTTTGTGATGTTTACGTTTGTATATGTTTACTGAAAATCAATGAAAGATAAAAAAAAATGTTCAGTTTGTTTTGTGTGAAGATTGTGTTTCCCTTTCTTTTTTGTTAATGAATGTTTTATGTTATTTTATTTTTATTTGAAATGAATGTGTTCTTCTTTAAAACAAAAAAAAGGGGTGGAAAGGAGATGAACCAGACTTGTTCTGTTTGATGTTTGATCTGTTTTGCTTATTATAGTTTGATGGGTTGTGTTTTTGTGGGTCGAGTCAACCCGACCCAATCTAACAAAAAAAAAAAAAAACTAAAAAGGTTTAAAAGTAAAAAATACATATTTTATTGATTAATTAGGGGAGTTAGTTTAATTTATGATTAATGAAGTTAATTAATTTTAATTAAAATAAATTAATCATATTTATTGAATTTGATTTGAGATAATTAGATAATTTATTATCTCAAGTTAATGATTAATAAATGTGATTAATTAATTTTAATTAATGTTAAATTAATTATTCAATTAAACTAATTATCTTGATTGATTAATTTTAATTCTCAATTAACTTTAATTTTGGTCAAAGTCAAAGATATCTTTCATTTTATCTCAATTTCATCCAAAACTTTTGTAATTAAGCAATTCAGTCCATAGGTTTTAACTCTTTTCAAATTAGTCCTTTATGTTTTGAATTTAACCAAATTAGTCCTTCATGTTTCGAATTTAGTCAAAGTAGCCCCTTTATTTTTTATTTGTGTTTATTGTGCATGCATGTTCTTGATCTTGTCTATTTCAGTCCAAAAATAAAAAAAATATTTTGATTTGGTTTATCTCTTTTTAAGACTCAAACATAAATGTAATATATAAGTTGAATCAAAACCCCTAATGTTAAAGTATGCAACCGTGTTTAAACGGAGGATTGTGAGATGCGCATATGCCCTTCCTCACTCCTAACCGAACCCCCGAACCTCGATCTCTGCGCAGACCCATTTTAGGTGACTTGTCCCACCTTATAATTTGGACGAGTGGCGACTCTCCTTTTCTTATACATTTCACACATGATTTTTCATTTATTTTGAAAAAATCTTAAGTGGTCGTCAACAGATTGGCGAGTCCATTGAGGACAGAACCCAGAATCTCTGGTTTTCATATTCTAGGTTCACGAGGGTCGAGCTAATACTTTAACTTTGGGGAATTTTCAACTTTTGAATTTTCTTTGATTGTTGAGTCTTTGTGGGTCTTTGTCATTTATATGTTTGTTGCGTGTTGCTTGTTGCTTGTTTGCTCATTGTTTTAATGTTTTCTTTGATTGTTTTTGTCTTTGAGTAGTTACCTTGCTACATCTTGACATACATCATACCTTGCTTACATGTTCATGCATCATATCATCTCACATGCTCATCCATCATCGACATTATATGCTTAATCATCATGCATCATGCTTACATGCCTATTTGCTTGTGTGTGGATATACTCACCTTTTGCACTTGGCTATGGAGTACTCAGTGAGTCTCTTCCCTCTTGTGCGATTATTTATATTTTGTTGCATGCTAAGTGTTGGTTGCCTTGTGTTACTAACCTTTTGCATTTGGCATGGGAGTACTAGGTAAGTCCCTTCCTTCTGTGTAAGTAGGTTTGTTTGTGGGTGGTATATTTGTTGAGTGCTTTACATGCTTTATTTGATTGTCATGGATATATGTTGTTGTTTTTGTGGTTTCCATTGTGCAAGTTATTGGAGTGTCATGCCCCTTGCACACACTCACTCTCATTTTGCATTAGATCTGTGTCGGAGGTGAACCCGACCTCTAGTCTAGAATCCTTATGAATCTGGCTTGGAAGAGCAATTCTTCCCGCTTTGAAGAGTAAGATCGGTTCCCATTAGGTTGTTTCCATTGGTTAATACGACACTTGATGATGTAATATCATTCTGTGTATTAGCTTTTGAAAATATCTCCTGTTGATTCCGAAAGGATAAATGGTTGAGAAGGCCTAATGCCCTTTAGGAAAACATGTAGTGGCCTTAGAGAGATACCAATCCTATGACATGTTTCCCTTAGCATCCCACCCGTGAGGTTAGGGATCCCATGTCTAAGACACAAAGGGGCATTTTACTTCACTAACCTTGTCTCCACATATGACAGGTTTTCATAGACATTTGAGGTATGATTAGTTATTCATCTTCTGCATTTAGACATCATTCTTGAGGTAAGGAGCATTCTATGCACTTGGTATCTTCACTTTCAACCCTATGCAAAAAAAAAAAAAAAAGAAAAAAAAAAAAGAAGAAGTTGATGATGGTTTCACATGTCATATCCCATTTCACATTAAATCCTCCATATGTCTTGCAAATTTCACATGTCATGTGTCCATTGTATTGCATTTTCTATCTCATGCATTGCAAAATATAGTTTCATGTTCATCTCATGTGACATTCTCCATTTTGTT